GTCTAACGCTTATGCCAATGTCGAGGACCGCCTTGAGGGTTCCCCTGTGAACTGGAAGGTGTACAAACCACGAGCAAACCACCGAATATGCTCGACGTATAAGGGGATGAGGTTCCCCATGTATGAGTTTACCTTCTGAGAAGCGGGATTGCGTCTGCCCTTCACCGACTTCCAACTAGGAGTTTTTGACTGGCTCCGGCTGTCTCCCTCACAACTACATCCTAACGCGATTTCGTTCGTGCGAGCATACGTGCTCGTTTGTCGACATCTCAATATCGGGTCCACTCTTACCTTTTTCTTCTACATCTTCCACCTTCAAAGAAAAACGCTCGATGGTCGACACAACTGGGTGTCCTTGAAGCAACCGAGGAGATTTTTCTGGGTGTATATGGATTCCATCCGAACTTTCAAGGACCGATATTACGTTGTCAAGCCCGTCACTCACACGTTCGTGGACTCGCATTTCAACCTCGAGGTCCGAGAAAGAGACGAGTAGTTCGAGGAGGTCTTAGTGCCGAAGATTCCGCTGATTTGGACGGAGGAACACTTCGACAAAGGTACGGACAACTACATAGTGCAGGCAGACTCGTTGGATGTCGACGACCGGGTGACCTACCAGAAGTTGGTCTCTTTCGTGGCTAGTTTTACCCCTGCAAAGTGCGTGATGCCGGAAGGGAATTTTATCCTCGACTCGTACGGGGAGATTCTTAAGGAATCACGTTTAATCAATACGAAGGCCCTCCTCGATTGTGTGTCTGATGAGGAAGCCTTGCGTCTCTTAGGTAGTGGGTCCGCTTTTCGCTCGGATCTTGTATGTGCATTCGTTGTTGGTTTGTTTTGATGACTTTGTTTATTTTTCTTTTGTAGGAGAGATGTCGAGCATGCACGAGCGTGTGAAAAGATCGGCGACCAGTAAGGGAGCGAAAAAATATGGTAAGGGGAGGGTTGCCCATGTACAGCAGATGCCTGGTCCCGACCAAGGGCCTGGTGGCTCCTCTTCTTCCCCCTAGGGCTGCCAGTCCCCCTCCTCGTAGGGGACACCTAAGAGGCCGCAGGTTGGTGAGCCCGAGACCGTCGATATTACTGGGGATAGTGCTGAGGAGAGGTTTTTGCTCTCACCCTGTTACCTGTAGCTCGCTTTCTTTTGTGGGGCCAACTCCCTAGTGGTGGGTGCAGCGGAGATCAAAGCCATCTTGGGCGTTGATCGGCAAATGAGGAAGAAGGCTTTGACGGAGGATCTGGCCGCAATGATGCGGTTCTTCAAGATGGCTCTGGTTCTCAATGATGATGCTTTCTCTTTAGTCGACCTCTCCAAATTGCAGGATGACCTTACGACCGTCGAGGCAGATATGATCAAGATAGGAGGGGGTTGGAGAATCCCCATTTGTACATCTTGTCCTCGATAAAGACGTACGAGCGGGCTCGGCGTCTAACCACGCTTGCCTCTTTGGCATCGTCAGGCAGGTGTCCCGTGTTGAGGTAGGTGTACACAAGGGTCATCCAGCAGTCATTGTCGTCGATAGTATTTACCTCGGCAGTTATCGTGCCTCTCTCGATGCTGGGGAGAGAGGGGACCTCGTGGATTACGGATTTGTTTCCGCCCTTCTTCTTCGTGCTAGATAGTTTCGACAAGATGTTTGTCCGGGTGTTGTGTTGGCGCGGAACGTGTCGTACCTCTGTAAAACCGAAGCTTTTCATTATTTCTCTTACCAAGGAGAGGTACTCGGCGAGGTTTTCATTCTTGGCTTGATATTCTCCCCGTACCTGGGATGTCATGAGCTGGGAGTCAGTAAAAATCTTTACCTCCTTCGCGCCAAGGTCTTGATCTAGACGGAGTCCTGCGAGGAACGCTTTGTACTCGGCCTGGTTGTTCGACGTTGGGAATTCTAAGGCGAGGGAGACTTCTATCAGGATACCTTCTTCATTTTCCAGTATGATGTCTGCTCCACTTCCCGTCGAGCTAGAGGCGCCATCGACGAAGATGGTCTTGTGTGTCTCAGGGGTCGGGGACTCTGTAGAAGCCATCTTTGCGACGAAGTCGGCCATTTGAGCATTCTTCCCGGCATATCCGACCGCCCGAGTAGCTGTTTGACGGGTTGGTCGGTTATGACTATGATCGTATGGACCAGGAAGTAATGTCGTAACTTCCTGGTCGCGTTGATGAGGGCCAGAGCGACCTTCTCAATTTGCTAGTATCTAAGCTCAGGACCTTGTAGGGCTTTTCTCGTGAAGTATATCGGCTTTTGCCCTTCGGGAGTTTCGCGGATCAGGGCTGCGCTGACGCCCTTCGTGGCGACAGCGAGATATAAGTATAGGGTTTCCCCGGTTTTGGGCCTTGACAGTATCGACGACTCTGAGAGGACTTGCTTGAGGTGGAGGAGTGTCTCTTCGCACTCTTCAGTCCATTTAAATGCGGCCTCCTTGCATAGAAGCTTAAAGAAAGAAAGGGTGTGCTGAGCAGACTTGGCGACGAGTCGTGAAAAAGATGTGAGTATCCCGTTTAGCGATTAGATTGACTTCTTTATGCTCGGTGTGGCAAACTCGGAGAAGGCTTTGCACTTGTCTGGATTCGCTTCGGTTCCTCGTTCTGTCAGGTAGAATCTGAGGAATTTGCCACAGACGGCGCCACTGATCTTACCTGACCAGAAAGGAGTCAATGACCTGCCACGCGTCGTGATTTGCTGCCTTCACCGGTATTGTGGATGAGAAAAGGGGGCGTACCTGCAAGATGCTTCGATGCTTAAGTGAGTAACGGAACTAGAGAGAACAAGTACAGAGAAAAGGTGTAGTGAATAGAATATCTGACCCTCTAGTGAAAGAGGGTATTTATAATGTACCCCTAGCGTAAGCCAATAGTTACATTGCATTGGGCCGGATTGTCAAGCCCAACACAAGTAACTGTCAGGACTTACGTGGCGTAGTGAAGACCAGCACGTGGTCTTCGCCTTGGATCAACTGCCCCATGATCTTCAGAAGGTGGGTTGACCATCTCTTTCGGAAGTGGGTAGTTTCCTGATGACATGTCCTCGCGTGGGGGAACTTGGAAAACGTGGAGGAAGCGCGTAGGTTCTCCTCATGCCAAGTACTGGTCTGTCCGACTGAGGGGTCTTGTTGGGAGGCGGGTCCGACATGGATGGTTGAGCTTTTTTGGGCCTCATCAGCATAGTATTGGGTTGGGCCTGCCTGTCTGTGGGGCAGGTCCCGGCTCAGTTCAAAACAGTTTCTATGGAAGATGTAAAAATCATGGATTAGGGTTTGTCCCTTGTGCTTATGGTTATCAGATGGATCCTCAAAATTTAGCTTTGCAATCATCAAGAGCATCATCTTCTGGTGCTCACCATCATCATTTGATTTGAATTTATTTCCCCGATCATATGACCTTCAAGAGTTTTTCTTGTGAAGTTTGTCATCAATGCATCTTATCACTCAAGGGACTTCAACCATTGTTTAAAGTGTAAGTTATTGAGGAAATCTTGGTGTAAAGGGTAAATTATGGTTTGGATTTGGTCAGGACTTGCAAATGCCACTCGTGTCAACTAAGGAAGTCTATATTGGATTCATGGACTTCTCTTTGAGTCTCATTCCTTACATTTTGGTCTAATTATCTGGTTTGGATCCAATGCATCTTCGGCGTTCATTCAAGAAGAAATGGGAAGTTCATATTCAAAGTTTGGAATCAAGTCAAGGAAATCAAGTTGGATTCATTCAAAATTCAAGATCCAATTTCAAGTATTTGTGTCAAAATCTAAGGAAGATTCAAAGATTCAAAATACAAAAGCGGAAAGAAAAGGTGCTTTTCATTTATTTCAAAGGCATAGCCCATTTTTAGGAGGGCCACTTTCATTTCAAAGTGTCAAATTACATTGCACAAGAATCTCCAAATCATAAAGGTCATGATGAGTCATTTGTTTAAAATGCAGCATCACAATTACAAAAGCATTACAAGTTGCATTCAAATGGTAGCAATCCAAAATACAACCCACAAGGAAATGGAGTATTATAAGTATAACTTCTACTCAAAAGAAATACATGAATGGAAATGAAAATGACTAAGAAGTTAATTTATAGAGAAAAAAATAATAGAGAAAAATACAACAAGTTCAAACTCTCAGGCAGCAACACTTTGGGTTATAAAATTAGGATCTAACATCCCAAGGGCGTTAAAATACACTATAAGGGGACTACCGCAATTGCATGGTACAAAAAATAATGAGTTTGCTATAGTGAATTTGTCATCTTTGGATCGAGGCCACAAGGATACCACTTCTCCGCATGTACCATTTGAAAGGAAGGCGCAATATGAGCGACAAACGTAATCTCTCTCATGGCACTGTTCTTGAAACAGAGACCAAGCTGTGTGATTCATTTTGCTCGTACTCTTGTATGAAAGAGGATTGCCCATATGATCACCAACTCTCCAAATATCCTTGTTCCAATTTAGTTTCTAATGGCTCTTGTACTAGAGGCCATGCTTATTTGTTTTCACACCTACACCAGAGTTTTGGTAGCCTCGTGAACCATAAAACTGGTTCATGTGGACCCTGCATAAACCCATACCACAAAACCTGTCAACTGAATGCGGAAGTAAAGTGAAAACTTCAAGATTTTACGTGAATATTCATTTAAGACGCAAGAATATGGAAGGGTAAACCATGGGGAGGTTGGTAAATTTTGTACAGCAGTAGACCGTGAATGAAGAAGACTAGTCATGATTGAATCAAAAATACCTCTTCACCTAAGACAATCTTGGAAGAGAAGAGAGCTAATATTTGCTTCAATTAATAATACTATTATGCAAATATTTGCATAAATCTAAATCAAGTTTAGCCATAATAACATGTTTGTCAGAAGTAACCATCCATTTGATATTTGTGTAAACTTCAAAAACCTTTAAAACAACAAACAAATTGGGAGCAAGCAATAAGTTGGTATTCATTAATTGAATTGAACAAAAAATATTGAGAACAAGACCTGAATAATTCAATTTTATGCCCATGAAGTTAGTTCATTCTGATATTGCAAGCTTTGTGCGCATCAAACACAGGAAACGCTTTGTTCAAATGTTTGAATGAATCTTCCGAAATAGCATCCATATTAACAAGTGAGTTAGCCAACTCCATTGCGTCATTTTGCCAGCCACCAAAACCAATCCCTTTAACCAACAATAAGTATGTAGTTTCATTTGGCAAGCATCCTCTCTGATTCATAGCAGCAAGCACCTCAATAGCATCTATGATTCTTCCCACCTTGCACAATCCAAGAATAACAGTATTGTAACTAATAACAATAGGCTGAAACTTGCGACTCTCCATCATGTCAACCAACAACTCAATTGCCTGATCCACCAATCCATCTCTGCACAAGTAAGAAATAAGTGAATTATATGTGATCATGTTAGGATCAATGCCTTTGCTTAACATCTCCAGAATCATCCCTAACGCTCTAATTTTATCGCCGATCCTCCACAATGCACAAAACAATGTATTATAAGAATCTGCATTTCGAGGACAACCCACTTCATCGAGCTTCTCCAAGATGTTGAATGCCTCGTCAGCATGTCCATTCTTACACAGAAAAGCTCTATCCAACAAACCTTGTCTACACATACCGGTAACAACAACATTGTAAGCATACACATCAGGTCGAAGTCCTCGGGACAACATCTGATCCAAAAGCTTCGTAGCTTGGTCAATACTACCCTCAATAATAGTTGCTTCAATCAAAATAGTATAAGTTTTAACATTTGGCCTACAATTATCTTTCAACAACTGGTCCATAACCTTTAAAGCCAAATCAAGTTTACCCTTCCCACAAAGATTCCTAAGGAGAATATTATAAGTAACAATATCAGGTAAAAAGCCTCTCTTTTTCATTCTATCAAACACCTTATTGGCAGCATCAACTCTATCAGCTTTACAAAGCAAATTCATAACTGTATTATAGGCGAAAACATCAGGCTCACCGTGCTTTTCCAAAATCTCCATAACCTGAATAGCTTTCTCAATTTTCTTAGAGTAGAAAAAACCCTTAATCAATTTTGTGCAAAGAATAACATCAGGTTTATAACCCCTATTAACCGTGTGCTGAAGAGAGTAGAGAGCTTCATCATACATGGCTGATTTGTATAACCTATAGAGAGTTTTCAAGGAATCGGTGTCTCGAAAGTCGTAATTTTGATCAAGTTTTGGCTTTGTTTCATTGACCCTGATTTGTGGTTGGTTGATTCCTGTTCTTCCCTTGTTAGTGTTACCTTCGTTTAGAAGTGGGGTTGAGCAAGTGACGATACTGTTGGGATTTGAATGGCAATAAACGCGGTTTGGGTGGGTTCTGAAATAGAGAGCGTGTGACAAGAATTCAGTTGAAAATGTTGTCATGGATAATGACTATGATGTTGCAGTTGTAGTTGGAGATTCATGGGTTGAGTTTGGAGAAAACGTAGTATCACAGAATGGATAAGGGAAAATGAGTTTGAAATGAATGGCTATTCACCTTATCCTAACCAACCAAATCCCCTTCTTCTCGCAACGAAAGTTAGGTTGTTGCTCAATAAGAAAAGTAATTATTAAAAGATTAAAGGTAACAATTTTATAAAATTGTTTTTAATTACTATAAGATGATGTGATATTGTTCTTAATTATTTAAAGTGTTCAACATTCAGACTTTGTTGCATCTTCTCTTTAACATTTAGATCTAGAGCGTAGTTGCTTTCAACGTCCTCCTGTTAAGATTCCTCTTTGTCATGTTCCAAATTTGTTCTACCCTCCCATCCAAATCTTATGACTTATGTGCATATCCTTCATTAGGTCATTTAAACACATCATGTATTTATCAACATATGCTTGTTACATGGATCCGAAGTCTTGGAGAATCAGGGTTTACATAATGCATTAAGGTTTCACCTTTTTGCAAGTTGGTTTCTATGAAAGATGCAAAGATCATGTATTAGGGTTTGTCCCTTGTGCTTATGGTTATCAGATGGATCATCAAAATTTGACTCTGCAAATCATCAAGAGCATCATCTTCTGGTGCTCACCATCATCATTTGATTTAGATTTATTTTCCTGATCATATGGTCTTCAAGAGGTTTCCTTGTGAAGTTTGACATCAATGCATCTTATCATTCAAAGGACTTCAACCATTGTTTAAAGTGTAAGATTGAGGAAATCTTGGTGTAAAGGGTAAATTAGGGTTTGGATTTGGGACTTCAACCATTGTTTAAAGTGTAAGTTATTGAAGAAATCTTGGTGTAAAGGGTAAATTAGGGTTTGGATTTGGTCAGGACTTGCAAAGGCCACCAATGTCAACTAAGGAAGTCTATATTGAATTCATGGACTTCTCTTTGAGTCTCATTCCTTACATTTTGGTCTAGTTATCTGGTTTGGATCCAATGCATCTTCAGCGTTCATTCAAGAAGTAATGGAAAGTTCATATTCAAAGTTTGGAATCAAGTCAGAAAAGTCAAGTTGGATTCATTCAAAATTCAAGGTTCAATTTCAAGTATTTATGTCAAAATCCAAGGAAGATTTAAAGATTCAAAATATAAATGCGGAGGGAAAATGTGTTTTCCATTTATTTCAAAGGCATAACCCATTTTTAGGAGGGCCACTTTCATTTTAAAGCGCCAAATTAAATGCACAAGAATCTCCAAATCATGAAGTTCATGAGTCATTTGTTTAAAATAGAGCATCACAATTACAAAGCATTATAAGTTGCATTCAAATGGTAGCAATCCAAAATACAAGGCCCAAAGCCAAACCCACAAGGAAATGGAGTATTGTAACTATAACTTCTACTCAAGAAATACATGAATGGAAATGAAAATGACTAAGAAGTTAATTTATAGAGAAAAAAATATTAGAGAAAACTACAACAAGTTCAAACTCTCAGGCAGCAACACTTTGGGTTACAAAATTAGGATCTAACATCACAAGAGCGTTAAAATACACTATAAAGGGACTACCACAATTGCATGGTACAAAAAAATAATGAGTTTGCTATAGTGAATTTGTCATCTTCGAATCGAGGCCACATGGATACCACTTCTCCGCATGTACCGTTTGAAAGGAAGGCGCAATATGAGCGACAAACGCAAGCTCTCTCATGGCACTGTTCTTGAAACAGATTCCAATCCGTGTGATTCATTTTGCTCGTCACTCTTGTATGAAAGAGGATTGCCCATATGATCACCAACTCTCCAAATATCCTTGTTCTAATTTAGTTTATAATGACCCTTGTACTAGAGGTTATGCTTGTTTGTTTTCACACCTACACCAGAGTTTTGGTAGCCTCGTGAACTATAAAACTGGTTCATATGGATCCTGCATAAACCCATACCACAAAACTTGTCAACTGAATGCAAAAGTAAAGTGAAAACTTCAAGATTTTACGTGAATCTCCATTTAAGACGCAAGAATATGGAAGGGAAAACCATGGGCAGGTTAGTAAATTTTGTATAGAAGTAGACCGTGAATGAGGAAGAAGACTAGTCATGATTGAATCAAAAATACCTCTTCACTTAAGACAATCTTGGAAGAGAAGAGAGCAGATCCGGCCAATGCCAAGTTGTCTTCCAAAGTTTTGTTTCATGCTGAAATATATCAGTTCACAAGTTTCAAAAGAGTTTATACTTCACTCTTGGGAAAATAATGAATTCAAAAGTCCACAACATGTGTTAGCAAGATCAATAACCAGTCCAGTTTTATAGCAGGTCTAGTACACTTAGAAAATCCATAAACTCCCTTCCTTACTAACTCTCAATCACTACTAAATATCATGACAATATGCAAATTCACAACCTGCATAACGCATCAACATTGGTTCCTATCTTCCCGCTTAATCTAAACCCACCTCTAACACACCCTCACAAAATGAAACAAAGCAATAACTATAAACTACCAAACCACAAAACAAATTGCAATGCAAAACAAATGAAGTTGCAACCTATAAGACAAAATCCAATTCCAATAAGATTACCAAATCCCAATTTAACTTCATATTCCAAACTCATAACAATTAAAGGTAATCCTACCATAAATTCCATAACAGTTCTAGCAAAGTTCATGTTGACAGACATCTAACAGTCAACAACGTAACTAACTTTCACAACAAACAACTCAGTGTCAGCCAAGATATAACAACCATAACAGATTTTAACTAACATTGCTCTAACAAACTTTAGAAACAAACTCCAAACTTCTTATTCTAATCTCACCTCATTCTCTATAAATCCAAAAGAATTCACCTCTTATCCAGTCTCTACACAATTTCTTCACTCTCCCTTTCCTCTCCACTCTCGCATTTTTCTTCTTCATTCTTCTTCAATTTAATACACCTTCAAATCCTGCAACAACAGAAAAACCAAAAATAAACAACAATAAAACTCAGTTCTGCAAATTCATATAAGTTTAGAGTTCTGCTACAGATTCAATACACAATACAATTCACTCAAGATCTGTTAGGTTTACAGATATAGGGGGCTTCGTTACCGTCTCCACGGAGATTGTTCTGATATGGGGTGTTTGTCGTTCAATAGTTTACCGTTCTAAGAAAAATGGTTTTTAAAGTTTGTTTCATAAATTGTCACGATTTTAATAGCAAAGCTTATAAATCCTAAAGTGTTTGATTAACAAAGTATATCAAAAGTAGTTTTCATCTACCCTAACTAATATGTATTCTTTCAATCTTACATGTGAAGTCGAATCCGATTAATATCATCGCATATTCTCTCAATACCGTCTATCTCTAAAGCGGCGTCGTGAGAAATATTGTATTAATCGCTACACGATCTCTCCATAAAACAACTAATATAGTAAGCTTTAAGTTTAATACAAAGAAAATATCAATCATAGACCCATCTCTTCAATCTATAAATCGGTAGATGAATATTTTAGGTCAAGTTCCATAAAATCTATGTCTAGAGTTTTACAAAACAAGAATGAATCATGTCTACCTCTACCTCTGATACAAAGGAAATTAGCTACCCAGAACATATAAAGGAAATTAGCTACCCAGAACCATGGCAGTTTGCTTTACAAGTCTTGAGGGAAGATGAATGAGCATCCATGTTGAAGAATCAAACTCGGATGTGAATTCGGCTTCTATTTGCAAATATCTCTTTGGTGAAAAAATGCAGAAAAATGAGTTTCCATGTGAAAATGGGGTTATGATCCCCAAAAAGTGTGAAAGTGTGAAAAATACTTATATAGTACAATTAAAGTATGCCAAGTTCGCTCAGTGAACGCTTTCTTCGACATCTGAAGTGCCTATGAACAGTTAAACCGCCCTTGGGAAAATATCTAAGCTTGCCTAGCAAACACTTCTTCGCCCAACGAGCTTCTTTGCAACAAGTTCGCACAACAAACTTATGGCCCTTTACTTACTGTCATCCAAGGTTTCCTCCTCGCTGAAACTTCACACAATGAACACTCACTATAATTTCACCCAGCAAACTTAGAGTCCTTTTCTTACTGCCTCTAATCTAAGATGGTTCGCCGGGGGCTTCGCTGCTACTTTGTAGCTGAGTTTTTCATCGTTACAGGTAGATGATTCTTTCTCTTCGGATTTTGTTTGCATTTCTGTTCAGTAGTCGTTACTGGTTCGAGCGATCGAGAGAGAACTATGTGAAATGATTATGAATTAAGGAATATGACATGGTTTAGGAGAAGAATCGTGTTGTGTAATTTTTGATTCAAAGTGTTATGCCATAGAGTGGCGAGGGACGAAAAAGTGATAGGTTAAGATAGGGAAAGGGGCGAAAGGTTGAAGATGTAAGTGTGTTGATTGTAGATTTCACTCTTCCCTTCATGGATCCTTTTTTTTTTTCTTTTTTTGGTTTTGGTATTGGATCGGGCTTGTAGGCCCAGATGTCATGACATCACTATTAACACCCATGTTCTTTGGTATTACACCCCATGAGACAATAACCAAGGCCAATGGGCCTGCGATTGCGACCTGAGCCATAGCTCTGATAGTTGCACATGATCCAACTCTGCACTTCTTCTTTTTTTTGTTATTTCTTGCTTAGTTATTTTTGTTAATTTTTGCTTAGATTGTGTTCGTTAATTTTTGTTAACTGTTGATTAGAAAGTTGATTGGAATTCTTTGCTAATTGTTTGATTACAATTTTTTAAAACTTTGATTATAATTCTTTTTTGAATCTTTGATTCTTGTTAAAATTGCGCTTGAATTTTTTGTTAAATGTTGGTTGAATTTTCTTGTGGAATTTTGATTAGTTTTTCCATAGATTTATTGATCAATTTTATTGATTCTTGTGGACTTTATTTCTCACTTTTAGTTAACCTTAATTAAGTGAATATAATGAATTTAAAGAATTAAGAAAAATTACAAGAGTATGTGCTTAGGTTTACTTTGCATT